TGTAAGGGACTTGTGCAAATATATATGAAAAGGCCAAATTTGTTAAAGATTCACTTTACAGAGTGCTCCCAGGAGACAAAGAAAATACTCATGACCTTAAGCCTGGAGATCTAGTATACTTGAAGAGACATCAACTTTAAGATTCTTTACAGCCAAAATAGAAAGGACCTTATCAGGTATTGCCAACCAACTCATGCACAGCAAAGCTACAAGGAGCTGACTCATAGATTCACATTTCTCATTTAAAAAGGGCTTTGGAGGTCCCTCAGGAAGTTGAAAATAGAGCTACCCTACAACCCAGCAATTGCACTACTGGGTATTTACCCCAAAGATACAAATATAGTGATCTTAAGGGGCATGTGCACCCATAGCAGCAATGTCCACAATAGCCAAACTATGGAAAGAGCCTAGATGTCCACCAACAGATGAATGGATAAAGAAGATGTGGTGCGCATATATACACAATGGAATATTATGCAGCCATCAAAAAAAAACCCCACGAAATCTTGCCATTTGCAACGATGTGGATGGAACTTAGAAGGTATTATGCTAAGAGAAATAAGTTAATCAGAGAAAGACAATTATCATATGATCTCACTGATATGAGGAATTTGAGAAACAAGACAGAGGATCATAGGGGAAGGGAGGGAAAAATGAAACAAGATGAAACCAGAGAGGGAGACAAACCATAAGAGACTCTTAATCTCAGGAAACAAACTGAGAGTTGCTGGAATGGAGGGGGGTGGGAGGGATGGGAGGGCTGGGTGATGGACACTGGGGAGGGTATGTGCTATGGTGAACGCTGTGAATTGTATAAGACTGACGAATCAGACCCTTATCCCTGAAACAAATAATACATTATATGTTAAGAAAAATAAATAAAAAGAAAGAAAGAAAGAAAGAAAGAAAGAAAGAAAGAAAGAAAGAAAGAAAGAAAGAAAGAAAGAAGGAAAGAAAGAAAGAAAGAAAGAAAGAAAGAAAGAAAGAAAGAAAGAAAGAAAGAAAGAAAGAAAGAAAGAAAGAAAGAAAGAAAGAAAAGGGTTGCGGATCCAAAAATGGCTGGAGAGTCACCCCCATTTTAAAGGATATCACAAGACCCAGAATTGAAGCAGACAATATCCAATGAAGTAGCTGATACTCAAAATCCAGGCCCAAGCCAGAACCCTACTTTTACTTTAATTCTTATTTTTTCCCTTTTGTCCCATTTTCACCACCATTCTATTTCCCCCACCCAAGACTGGCTTGAAGTCATTTATGACCTCTGGCTGCCTCCTTGGTTTGAGTTCTTAAATGGAGACTTCCTTAATGACCCTCAGGCTTTCGTAAGACTTGATACTCTATAGTCCCTACTCTTTGTTCTCAACTCCTATACAAATTCAAGATGAAAAACCAGTTAATAATATTCTTATTACTACGTTCTATCAAAGATGGAACGTTCTCTGATTGGAATACTAACTCCATTGTTAAGCTGTCCCAAACCATAGCCCAGGGGATCCCCCTAAAAAATTGCTGGGTATGTCATAACCCACATACATTCCAACCAAATACAAAATACTCCCTCTTAGCTCCCCTCAGTTCAGTAAGATTGCCCCACAGATTAAGATCATTAAGATCATGCACAATGCCTCTGGTCAAATATAATTGCTCCTCCCCAATCCCTCAAAGGTGCCCTAACCCAATTTTCTTTAGCCTCCTTTCCTTGTTTTGAAGCTACTCCTGTCCACAATTTCTCTTCTTGCATAAGATATGTCCACCTGGGACCTAGTCTGGTTTCTACAGATGTAAATCTCACTTTTGCATTAGCTGATCACTATAATCTATCAATTGCAATCATTCATATACCCTAATGCTACTGCCCTCTGCCAGGTCATCAAGAACAGAAGACAAATGATGAAATTTCCTATCAATACTTAGGTCCAATGAGTTCCTGGGGAATGATATATAGAAAGCCCCATCAAAGGAGTATTTATAAGAGGTTTTGCTATGATCAAACTAAACCCAAATTCTATCTTTTTTTTTTTTTTTAAGACTTATTTATTTGAGGGCGCCTGGGTGGCTCAGATGGTTAAGCGTCTGCCTTTGGCTCAGGTCATGATCTCAGGGTCCTGGGATCGAGTCCTGCATCGGGCTCCCTGCTCCTTGGGAGCCTGCTTCTCCCTCTGCCTTTCTCTCTCGCTCTGTCTCTCATGAATTAAAAAAAAAAAAAAAAAAGACTTATTTATTTGAGAGAGAGAGTGGGGTGGGGGCGCAGAGGGAGAGGGAAAGAGAGAATCCTAAGCAGGCTCCATGCCCAGCACAGAGCCTAATTCGGGGCTCTATCTCAGGACTCTGAGATCACAACCAGAGCTGAAACCAAGAGTCAGATGCTTAGGCAACTGAGCTACCCAGGTGCCCCCCAAATTACATTCTTACTGTGATCTCAATAAACCTTATGGTACAGGACCCCCATCTTCCCTCCGTACCAACTCTTCCTTTCCCATCATCAATAGCACCACTCTGAATGATAAAACAAGAGCAACTGAATCCTGGTGAGCTTCTGAAGGGTATATACTTATCAGTAGCAGCCCTCTTAATTATCTTTCCTATATGGGCAACACTTATGGAAGAATAACTAACCAAACCTTAGCCTTCAAATGTGTTAACAATGCCTGGGTCACTGGACAACGTACCCTAGGATTCATATAACACAATCTGTCTATCCTACCCATAAACTCCACTGCCTCTCATAGAACCCAAAGGGCTTAAGGTATAATAATTATTAGAATTGGTCTGGCCATAGGCATGTTGGCCCCTTGGGGAAGATTTGCTTATCATAAAGCCACCCTGTGTAATCGAACAAACGTTCTAGAGGCATTATCTCACAATACTGCTTCAGCCCATTTGCATGATGATTTTATGACAAAACTTACAATTATCCTTGGACTCCCTTGCTTCAGTAGTCCTAGACAATCAAATTGCACTTGAGTACGGGCTGGTAAACAAGGGGGTGTCTGTGCTCTTGCTAATATTTCTTGTTACACCTGGATAAATACTTCCTCCAAAGTAGAATTAGAAATTTAAAAAAAATTTTCATACAGGCCTCTTGTTTCACAGTATCAACAATCCCATCTTCAGTGAAATTTGCAATCATATTAAAAGTTATCTACCATCATCCAATCTCTTTAGTTGGTCTCCTGACAAAATAGGAAACATCCTCCAATCGGGAATACAATACTGTATTAATTTTGGGATTAAGCATCTGGTTGCTATACAAAATACTTTTTGCTTGTTTCCAGAAGTGCCTCTCTTCCTCCTCTTCTGCTCCCAAGTTAATTATGACCGAAGCTTCTGTGTCTACTGCTCTAACCCTATGCCCTTCTGCCCCCTATGGAAAGATGGAATGGACCCCAAGCAGCAGGCAAGCACTTGGGCAACAAGGGACTCTACCATAACGAGTTTGCCCACCACAACTGATCATGGCAACGTTTCATACACCGATGATCAAAAAGAGGAAATGAGGAAAAGGGGCGAAGGAACAGTTGACAATTCTGACTCCACCTTGCAACTGCCATGGTTTTGTGGAGTTCAGAAAAGCACAGCCATTTCCTGGAATTGAGATCATTATCTTGAGGTGTAGACACCTGGAAAATTTCCCCCGACCCACAATCCTGAGCAAAAGTCGTCAACTAATCACTGAGCAAATCATACCAACTGAAATTTCTCCCTCGCTGTGGTTTTAAGTTTTAATAACACCACCTCCTCTCACCCTTTCTGGACAAGCACATCAACTGAGTTGGGTTGTCCTTCTCAGTTTGTAACCCTAAATAAAGATTTGTCTCCTTTTTCTTCACACAAAGGCTCACTTCTAAAATTTTTCTTGAACAGCAAACATTTTTTCTACTTTAGTACATTTCCTTTAACTTTATTGAAACAACCACCGTAGCTTCTGTGTCCGTGTAGCAGGTGGCGGGGCACAAGATGCCCACATGTAGCATTGATTCTCCATTTAAGAAAGTATCGTTTTGGGGTTTGTTTTTGTTTCCTTAACTAAGAGCAAACGGGTCAAGCTCTCTGTTTTTTTGATAAACTATCTTTGTTCCTTTAGCCTTCTCATTCTTTCATCCCTTTCTTCTGCCTCACGACATTCTACCAGTGAACTGATATTAGAAAAAAAAATGGCCAAATTGTAATTAGGAAGAGGTTTACATGAGTGTTGTCTCTGGCTGCTATTATCTGTCATGAAGTTACTAACCACATTCAAATTTACCTCTCACCATTTTTGTATATTGTAAATACAGGTAATAGCACATAAATTAGAATCTGTGGATATTTTAGACGGTATAGTAATGAATGACTGTTTTCAATGTCTGGGGATGCTTGGTTATGAAAAAATAGGCACAACTAGGTTAAAAATAGAAACAAAATTGAAGGAAAAAAAAACCTGCCTATTTGCTTGGGTATAAGAATCCATAATATATTACCAAGACAGGCTCTGTCTGGACTCTGAAAGATATCAAGAATGGTTACAACAACCAATTTTTTCCTGAAATATATTCCTGCCTAGAAGCATAGGGAGCAAGAAAATGACTATTCACCATCCATTTTTGCATGATGATTTTATGACAAGATACATTCTTTAATTCTGGAGCTCAAATATACATTTACAACAAGCCCTCAAGCTTTTCTTCTATTTCAAAAATAATGAAAAGTTCATATAAAAAGTCCCATATGTTAGGCAACTGAAAATATTCTCTGAAATGGCATAGAATAGCTTTATCTGCAACTATTATTGACACAATAATGTCTTTTCTCTTGGTAAAGAAAAGTTGCAATTTTCCCCAAAAGTAATAGCTCTTTGTCTTTAAGTTTATCTCCTTAAGTCTGTAACAAAAAAGCAAAAGGTCTGCCATCAAACTATAATAAAGTTGATCATTTCAGCTGCCTATTACCTAGTGGTAGCACTTGCTAGACACATTGAAAGAAATGTTTAAGCAAGGAAACAGTTTCAGAGAATGACTTACCCTCCTTTAATATAATCAAGGAATGAAACTTCTGTTTCTACTAAAAAAGAGAGTAAGGTTACCTGAAAAAGAAAAGAAAAACAAGGTAGAATTACCTACTAGTACTAATTGCAACCCCAAATGGACTTTATCCTAAGTATTAGAAAGGAACTCATATTTCATATCAGAGAGGAACATCACATTTTAAAAATCAATAACAACATTATTCTTTATTAAAATCTGCCAGGACTGATTGTTCTTACATTTTAAAATGATCAGAATGAAAGGGGCCAACAAAATTAACTAACTCCTTTCTATGACCAGTATACTTCCTTTGAAGAATAGCATGAAAATTGTCCACAAGGACACTGTGTTACTTCCCATTTTAGATAAAAGGAGAGATGAAAGGAGCTGAAAAATGGTTAAAACTAAAAAATCAGAATCAGTGAGTTAAGCCTTCTAAGAGGAAATGTGTGTTTTTCTCATGGTCCTGTAATGAGGCTATCTAATATTTTAAGTGTCTTGCAGTATAGAAATCTTTAAAAGGAAACTTGGAGAGACCTTAGATTTTGCTTCTCCTAAGAAAATGTAAACTTACAATAAAATCTTCAGTATAATATAGAAGGAATGTCACAGAGATGAAAAGTACAGCATAGGTAATACAGTCAACAATATCGTAATAACATTGTATGGTGACATCTGGTGACTGCACTTATTGTGGTGAAGGCAGAGTAATGTACAGAATTGTTAAATCAATATGTTGTACACTTGAAACTGTAACATTGTGTGTTAGTTAAACTCCAATATAAAAAAAGGTACACCTGAATTCTCAAAAAAAAAAAAAAGGAATAGGATGATTTTAATTTCAAGATACTTTCATCTTTGTACCTTCGTGTATTGATTTAGCCTAGCATCCTACAAGTTGTAAATTTTAACACACTATGAACAAGTACTTTCGCATGCCATCAGTTTTAATAGTTAAGTGTAGCCTGTAAAGAGTACAGTATTTCTTACTAACAAACTTTTTCATACCTACTTGATTCTCTCTAGTGTGATTCCACTGAACGAGGATTTCATAAGAAAACTTCAGCTTCCCTCAGAGGCCATACAATCCCGAGGACAACCTGCAGGAAGCTGGGTGACTACTTTTTATAAGGTATTCTCCATTACAACCATCCCCACAGCAAGTTCAGCTTTCTAGTATACACCTTCATACTAAAATCCTAAGTCAAAGAGCCTAGTCTTTAGTTCTAGTCTGTGTAAATATTACACATTTTTTATTCGTTTATTTGACTCCTTAGTGAATAACATAACATTTGACTTACTGTTCCCGAATTAGTATATTTTTTCTTTTTTCCTTTCTTTTTGGGATTCACCACCTTGAAAAGCAGATGAAACAATTACACTGTGTTAGATTTTATATGGAAATTTTTACAAAATGTGTAGTTCAAACGGCTGCCTTCACCCCTGATGCCTTTATTCATTTACAAATGCCTTTGGTATGACTCCTGGACAGTCCTTCAGCCAAAACTTCTCTACAAAATTTACTGGTGACCATCTTCTTTGTGTGTGTGTGTGACCATCTTTTTTAAAAATGTATTTTTTCAATAATATTCTTCTCAATCACTTTATGCACTGATTATCCTCATTCATCTGTATCTTCTTGATGTGAGAAAGACTTTAACATCCTAGGTCCTAAATAATAATGATTGCTTTGTAGTAAACTATAAATAGCTAAAGAAAAGTATAGGCAAGATACACAACTTTTTTGCTATTAGGTTAAAAACACTAACATAGCAAATCACCCAAATATGTGCATGCGTAAGGGCTCTGTTACTCTATTGCTGTCAGGGGTAGTAATTTCCACCTGATACTGAGGCTATGTGCTAATTAGTAAAGGTCTGGTTTCTGTACCGAATATTTAATTTTTGACCATTTATTCCATGAGGAAATATTACTGCACTCCTATATTGTACAAGACACTGAAGAATCCAGGGGATGTAAAAATGAGTAAGACCTGTCAATCTAATAGGATAAATAAAACACGTAAGTGCCTTAACAGAAAATCCTTCAGCACATCCCAATCCAAAACACACATGGAAGCATTTAGACAGGCAAAAAAAGTTAAAAGAATTTATGATAAGTATTATTTGAACTAAACTTTATTAATTTAAACTAAGGCTACAATAAAAAGGGATGGACATAACAGTCTAGAAAGAGAAAAAAGTAACTGGCCCAGGTGGCTGGAGCAGACAGCAAATACATACTATTTCAATGAACCTGAAGGACCGCAGGTACATGGAGCCAGCAGGAGACACTCCTGTCTGCATGCTTGGGGATCCTGAAAGCTGTTTGCAAGCTTAGAGATCCCACAAGGGCCCTATACTCTGCTCCAGCCCACCAACAGTCTTATGGGTCCAGGGTCCCAGGAGGAAACGGTCCTGTGGACAACCATCTAGATCCTAAAAGGGCCCGATACTTAGTTCCAGCTCCTTCTCGCCATAATTTGTGAGCAATCCTGCTGGCATAAGGACCCACCAAGAGATACTCATTCTGTACCTCAGGAGATCATGAAATAGCCTTATATTTATTTGGTCCCAGCCCCTCCGACCATGGTTAGGAAGTAATCTAGCCCACCCAGGGACCTAGTGGGGGACATGCCCATCTGCACCTCCAGAACAAGTACAGACCGAAGTTTTAACTATGGTACCTGAAACAGCCATGGGCCTCAGTGGCTGACCCTCTTAGGTATGGTCCAGAGACAGTCCTGCCTACTTAGGGACCCATCCAGTGATCAGAGGGGAGTCCTCCAAGAGACCTGGCAGGAGCCACACACACCTTCACACTTAGTAAGAGGCCATCTGACTGAGGACCCAACTGTGCATCCTGAAAAGGAACGCTGGTTCAGTGCCAACCGACTGAATAAAGTCTTGGAGCCAGTCTCATCCACCCAGGGGCCAGACAGAATCCATGTCCACTCCAGCTGCTGGCAACAAGCATCCCCAACCACGGATGCTACTACAGACCTAATAGCCTCAGAAGCAGCTCCAATCCAGCATGACTGCAGTTCTGGAGGTAATCCCATCAGCTCAGCAACTGACAGGAGAAGGTCTTTATCTGCCCAAACCACTCTATAAAGCCCTACGGTTTTTAAAAGCTCGGTTATAGTGCTGGAGATCTAGAAGCCCAAGGGTAGGCAGAGAAAACAGGTACCTCTACAAGTACAACCTGTCTTATATTACTTTCATTGCCTGTTTAGAGCCTTAATATTCCTTCCCTGGAAGACAGAATATTAAGACAGAAAAATTGATCCATTACTCCATCTTTGTCATTGCCTGGGAAGTTTGATCTGTAATATCTCACACTCTACTAAGTAAAATACTATATGTAGCTGTTACCAAGACAAACTAAACATATTTCATGCGTTTGTCTCCCATTAGAAATGGAATTTTTTTTTTGAGAGAGAGAGAGAGAATCTTAAGCAGGCTCCAGTCTAGTGCAGAGCCCCATATGGGGCTCAATCCCACAACCCTGAGATCATGACCTGAGCTGAAATCAAGAGTGGGATGCTTAACCAACTGAGCCACCCAGGTATCCCTAGACACTGAAATTTTTAATCATCTCTGTATTCCCAGGGCCTTAACAGAGAATGTGGAATGTAAAAGCCATGTACTAAATATTTTATTTCTAGATGAATGAATGAATGAGTGAATGAATGGAATGCTACTGCTTTAGTTTAGTAAGAAGATGCTAGAAGAAGGAAAGTGTTCCACTAGTAACTTAAAACAGGTCAATGTTAGTGTCAACCTGGCAGGGAAGGAGTTACCATTATTGACTGATACGGAGATATTCTCCTTTGCTATTGATGTTTGTTAAATAAAAAAATTAAAGAGAATGTACAGGTAACATAGCTCAAGTATTAACACTGCCAGACATACCATGTACTCAACACATATCTGGTAGTTAACTGGCAAGGTAGGTTTAAGGCAGAAAGAGCTACTGTGCTTGCTTTAATAACGTGGATTTCTTTAATGACTGAATTATACTTTGTCATTCCCTTCGATCTTCAACTAAACAACAGTGAAGGTGCTCAAACCTAAGTTCATTTTATAACACCAAGTTGACATAATGAAAATGCACATTTTTCTCTTTTTATTAAAAAGTGTTGGGGAGGAGGTCGGTAGGAAGGCAAAACATAAAGGGGGAGGTTTATGGAAAAAAATTTTTTAAATAGGTGAGAATTTTTTAATTTCTCAAAATAGAGTTAAAAGACCATGGGACTTGAAGAGAAATATATCATTCAATCTCAGAAACAAGTCTGTTCAATAAGTTTGAAGATTCTTACATATATTGGTAGTTGGTTAACCTTTGCCAATTACCCTTTGCAAAAATCTATACTTTTAAAGCATAAATTTACTTCTTCCAGAGGAAAATAATAAAATAAAATTCCTCTTACCTCATAGACATTGAATTGCGATTGTCCTCTAGAAAGTTCCCTATAGCTTGTGGTAAATTCTCCAATGAAATCATGACTACATTTAAGAGAAGAAATATATAGTATTAGCTTTCATACATTTGTCAATTATACTTTAAAGCTTTCTACAAATATATAGTTTAATCATGAAAAAATAGTTAATATTACTACGAGCATAACTTAATAACTTATATTTTAAGAGACCATACATAACTTCATTATTCTTTAATCCCAAATTATGTACACTCAAAATACATTTTATAAGTATTCAAATTATATTTCATTTATCCCACCAATATTAATATTTCAAACAGGTATTTTAGTTCTAATAACTCACATCTCAAAAACATTTCATCATCTATGCTACCAAAATGATTTATTAGGATGAAAGTTTAAGACACTCAAAAACTTATTATTTATATAAATAATTACAAATATATAAAATTCTTCAAACTTTCTTATGACCAAGATGTAATAGGACATTATTTTTTAAGAGTATCCCATGTTCACATGTATAATAGTCACCAAGCTTTATTTTTAATAAGAATAGCTTCAAAGTACATTGTTAATATCAACATGGTTATTCAGAGTTTCTTCACCTTAAAGTAATTGTCATTACCTTCTCAGGAAGAAGACCTTCTACAGGTGCCTACTCAGTTTAGATGGGAGGGGATAAGGAGCATGCATTAGTCCTCACTATAAAATGCTTGTCAATGTGATTACTAAAGCTTACCTAAGGAAACTTACAGAGGAAGAAGATAAAGAAGATAAAGATTGTAGGAATTCAAGTGGTAAACACACCATAAGGATGACACTGCTATTTATATCATAGAATTTAAGCTTGGCCCATTCACTTTGCAAATGCAAGGTGTTCATTACCATTAAATATACATATTTCCCCAACCCCCAGGTAGGTTTAAATGCTTAGTTGTGAAGATCTGATGACCAGAGACAAGCAACAAACAAGTTGCTATCTAGCCAACCAAAATATTGATTTCTAAAGATGGAATTTGGAAGAAAAACTGAGCTGCCATTAGTATCAGTAGAGATTTTGCAAGAAGAAATGTTTTTATAACATTATTTAAAATACAGTTCATTAGATTTCCAGCCTCCCAGTTCTCCATTATCTCAAAGATGTTGTACATACATCATAATATTCTAAGTGCCTCCTTATACCAGTATCACCTTGACCCCTTCCAGATTTAACTCCCAGAAGCAGATCTACACACATGAAAATGTGAAAGGAAAGGGGACTGAAAATAGTGGTAAATATATTTGTATTTATGAACCCAATCCCCTAGGACTCACTCATTGAAGTTACATGGGGAAAATCATAAAATAGTACTTTAGCGCTACATATTTCTACTAAGTGAAATAATTTTCTTTGACCTTCAGAAGCCCAAGCTCATAATCATGGTATCTTTCACTGCGATCTTAAAAACTGAGTTTTGGAGATTATGTTTAAAATCTATCCACTTCCATTGCTGTGTTTGTTTCAAATATCTTAAGTAACAGTCATGGAAATAAAATGTTCTATTTAAGCACTTCAGGCACAATGCTTTGGTAATGGTAGTGTGGGCAAGCCTTATGTAACAGAGCTCACCACACTAGTGGTGGGAATATAGAGGGCTTAAATAAAACCTTGGATCACCTAAGCCCTTATGGTAGTTTTCTGACTATGCAAATCCTCATTTGGTTAATTGTTTCAATTCAATGTTCAGCTATTACTATTAACATTAAATTCCCACCACTCAACACTAATCAAATACTTGGTAGAGAAAAACAATATTACTGGTCTCAAGTAAATAGAATTACTCAGTCAAGTTGCAAGAACATGTAATAACCATCCAGATAATGTAAGTCCAGCAGAGTGGCAAATCTGGACCCACTGGCAATGGTCAGGTTTATCATACGGCACATTGATGCGCCCCTGTTGAAGTCATTATGGAACTCTCTAAGAAGCAATTCTCTGATATTTGGTTCTGTTTTGTTTTGGTAAATTTGTTACTCTCTACAGAATTGAGTGATGAACAATGAGGTACAATTCTCTCTGGTCTCAATGCTGTGAGTCTAAGCTTCTGTGCTTCCCACTGGTTTTTCCTATTCTGAAAGGACCCTGTTTATCATGAAATGGAGATTTTTTTTTTTTCCCCTCTGAGCTAGTTGTTAGAGAGGGCTGATGGCCAAATCTATGGCCTATTTCTTGCAGGATATGTCTTCATGACATGCTGTCCTCTGCAGACTTTTCAGATTTCTTATTCTCATTTCCCCTTTCCTTCAATTTCTGATCCAGTTTATAGTTTACCATGTCTTATTACATGTGTTTCTATAAATTATCTTGGATTCTTTCCAGAATGAGACAGGATATAAATAAATTAAAGAATGAATAGAATACTTGCTCCTCCCCTTCTGAATCTTGTCTAAGGTTATTATTTTTAAAAAAACACTGAATTTGCATGTCATATAAATACAATGCTATCCTGTGTTGTAGAGGAGAAAATGTATTGAGTCACAAATTCCACTTCAGTCTCCAAGACAACATTTCTGTGAGATAAAGAAAACACATCTTTGTATCTATTCAGAGCCAGAGAAATGGATGATCACGAAGTGAGGATCTGTCAAAAGTTCATCAGCATAAGGCAGTTAAGAGGAGGTAGTGGTAAACTTGTCAACCCTAGATACAAGGTGTTTGTCTCCAGAAAACCTGAAGAATTTGGGTGGATAAGTGGATTGATTCCCAGGTCAATTTTGTCATAGATCTCTTGGAATACATGGAAGTTTTTATAGTTTCCTTTGTAACCTCTCCAACTTCAAAAACTGTTTAGTAAACCATAGATAAATACTTTAAAGAAAGTATTAAATGTAATTTTCACAGGTTTATAGTTATCTTTTTCCCCCATCATCAACTACTCCTAGATTTTACTGATATTAAAAGAAGGAAAATTTAATTTGCCCTAATATTTTTATCTGTTCCTGATTTTCAGTACTATAATATTGAAACAATTATCACTATACAGAGAGATATGATGGAAAGACTTTCATAATAAATCACAACCAACAATTTCCTTGTGATTCAATAATACTGCTTTGCTATTTCCTGTTAATTTAATTGCAACTAAAATAATTATTCTGTTATGTCTCTCTGACTGCATTGATAAAATAAAGTCTACTCCAGGGCTGTTTATCTGATTTGTGTCTGTTTATATCTCTAATTTGTTCTCCATACTTTTTATAATGGATATATGCTACTGAGGAAAAAAATTAAAGAGATATTTAAAGCAAATTGATTACTACTATATATCAGTAGTCTGGCTCTAAAAGCCTTGTTTGCGGAAAGTGATTAAACTGTTAAATAAAATCTGTATATTACGATCATTTGTATGCTCTATTAATAGTGAAAAAATGTATATGACATATATTCACATTGATATTTGAAACCTCTAGGACAGTCCTTACTTAACAAATGTGTCTACCCCCTCTTCCATTTTTGGCTCCTTCTTTCTCAGCATCACCAACTCTTATAGCCTAACTATTATGTCCTCCAAGAAGCCTTTCCTGCTTCATGCTGCTCCCTTTGCTCTTAAAGAAGCCAGTATCTCTCTACCATCACAAATCCTGTATTGTATTATACCTGTTGTTTACTTAGTTCCTCTCCCAGCCTTCATCATACTTGAAGGTAAGAAAGGTGATAAACTCATCTCCATGTTTTTGGCATCTACCTCATTGCCTGGTACATAATGGGCACAATTGAAAGTTGGAAATAGATTCAAGTTAATATCAGTCATTCTGTGACCTTATCTTGCCAGTAATATTAACAAATTTGTCTCAGATTATATTCAGTCTAAAAGAATTGCACGAGTGCCATTCACATTAACCACCGTTACCCTCTCCACCTCCTTAAAACAACTCTAAGAGTAATGCAAACAACTGTTCTTTTTCCATGGAAGTGCAAACACACTATCACACCAAAGGCATAGAAAAGAGAGGCAGGCAATATTGCCTTTTGCTGGAATTTCTGATGATCCTGAAGGCCACCCTGCCTTGGGGATAATGGATGATTCTTACTTTCTTGACTGTCATTAAACTAGTTTTGCACATAACGTATACAAATGACATGTATGTACTGAACTCTCGTCTCATCCCTTTCTCCATCACCAAGTGATCTGGAGTAAGTCAGCCAACTTTGGGGTCCTAATGTCTTCACTTAAAAATTGGAGGCAATGCCTACTTACTGTTTTGAAAATAAACTCAAGAGAATTCTTTGATTCTTTCTGTGAAAGGTATTTACTGCCTGAAAAAGACACTATTAAACTATATTTTTCCAATTATTAAGAATATGATTCTAGATATATATAATTTTAAGAAACCTTTAATCAAAATTATTTGTGAGGATGTAACAGGCTTATGAATGAATATACACTGCGTTGTGGTATTTTGGAGTTAACATACATACCCATGGCTTGTCCTGCTCTTGTGTAATTCCTCTCCTTTAGAGTACACCAGTGTGCCCTGTTTCAGGTGTGTGCTGAAGGATCTCTCAACCAAGGATTTGTAAACAGATGTGTATTAAAGACAATTTCTCTAGGATGTTGAAAATACCTTGGCTCAAAAGTTGGCATGATCTTTCCCACGGAAACAACAGCCCCAGATATCACCGTCTCCTTCATTTGTAAGCAACATACTGATTACCCATATTCCTCTATCTTGTCTAATCTGGGCCACTCCTGGCAAGCATAGCAATGTATTTTAAAATAGCTAGAGATTCAGCAGTCACAGAAATGAGAGACACTTTTAACTGAAGTACAGTTATGGTGACCCTAATTCAACTCATTGGTTGCGAACATTCCTACTGCTTAAACCTGTATTTGTAGGAAAAGAGCAGCAGTGTTTTTCTAGAGGTGACTAACACCAAACCACTGACTCCATGACAGGTAAAATATGCCATAGGATTTGTGATTTCCAATGATCAACACAAAAAGTCATCTTTATGAGTCCAGATAACAGTATATCAGCTATCCCTGATTTTGCTAATTTTCTTTGCTTTTATTCTAGTCAAAG